AAAATTAAAATGTTACCATTTTAAAATTAGAACCTCCTGTTTATTTATGGCACTCCAATCTTTCATAGCCCATAACATCCCCCTTCAGCTTTTTCTTGGAGCCTGGAATCTTAGAAACTTTCTTTAAAGTAGAAACAGACATGTTGTTTGTTATTGTTTTAGTGATGGATAGGATTTCTGCCTGCGTCAGTTGTTCAAAGATTCACTCTCACTCTGCTCCCATACCAGGATATCTCTTTAGACTCAGTTTAATGACCTTATTTCATTTTTGACTGGGTAACTTCCTTTGTAGATTATCTGACTGCTATGAACTTGATATATCTTGACTCCAACAAAACGTTTTACAGAGTAGCCCATAACATTCTGATTAGCAAACTATGTTAAATTATGAACTGGATGGCAAGTCTTAGGTGGATCAAGAGTTAGTTTAAAAATGGCACTCAAAAAATTAAAAAAACCATTTCCTTACTAAGATGAAGGGAGGTATCAAGTTAAGTGTCATAAAATGCAGTTTTGACCCTGGTTGTCATCTTCATTTTCCTTAATGAGATGGCTAGTCATTAATGAGGATTTCAGATTTGCAGATGACACACAGCTGGATAGGATAGCTAATACTGTAGGAGATAAAGAAAAGAAATTCAAATGATTTTATTGGATTAAAGAAATGAGCTAAAAAGAACAGAATGAAATTTAATGAAGATATATGCAAAGCACTTCAGTTAGATAAAAGAAATCAAATGCCCAGGTTAGGATGGAGGACCTCAGGCTTAATAATATATGGTACCGTCTCCCTTAGGTCATCTCAGCTCTTTGTTATGGACACATCTGTATTGGTTTCTTGGTAACACTATGGAACTGGTTTGCCATTACCTTATTCCAAGAATATTTTTTTTAAAACAAATATTGTTAGACTAGTTTGTATTCCTGGAAATTTCTGGTGGTCTGCCATTCCAAATAATAACAAGGTCCAATCCTGCTTAATTTTTTTGAGTTCAGCCAAGGTCAACTAGGTGTTGCCATCTGTCTTGAGTTACACTTGTGAAGTCTGAGATGTTGGAATTGTACCTGATTGCAAAATAAATATGGGCTAGCAGTGTGATGGAGTTACTAAGAAGCCAAATGCAGGTTTAGGCTACTTCAATAAAAGTGTAGCTTCCAAATCACAGGAGGTAGTTCTTTATTGGTTGGACACCGTGTTATGTACTGCGTCCAATTCTGGGCATCACACTTTAAGAAAGAGCCAGAGAAATTGATTTTGAGGAGAAAGATGCTGAAGGGACAAGAAGCTGAATCTTACAAGGAAAGCTGAGGGCAATTGAGTATTTTAGACTTTAGAAAATCTGACTGAAGGAGTGTCACACAGAAAAGATCAAGACTTTCATCCTGTCAGAATGCACGGTGCAGGACACAGAAGTTACAGAAAAGTAGATTTGGGCTGAATATTGGGAAGAGCTTTGCAACAGTAAAAGTGTTTAGTGGAGTCAACTGCTGAACATTTCTTCTGGTATGTGCTAGCAGAGGTTGGACAGCCACCTGAGGGGATGCTTTAATTTGGAATTCTTGCACTGAGCGTAGTGTTGGATGGCCTAAATGGCTCCTTTCAATTCTGTGTTGGTATGAAATTTATTGGGCTTTGATGTGCAAAACTCTTGATTTCTAATTTGGATTTCAAGGTTTCCAGAAACTTACTACAGAGTGTGAGAGAGACAGCAAACAAAAATAAGGTCTGCAAAGGTAACCTCTGTTGGATCTAGAATAATTTCTGGACTTTTTTGTATTCTGATAGAGTGGTTTGTTGCACTATTATTTTCTTTATGCTTTCTTAAATGACACTTTAGATGGCTAAGGCTTAAACTATATGGAAAGGAATTATACTAACAAGATTAGTAACTTACACATCCTGTAAGAGCTATCCAGGCCTAACACTTCCATTTAAGAGAAGATAACCAGTATACAGTACATGGGTGGTCAGATATTAGATCTAGTCTCTGTCTTTGGGCAGATGTGATGGAATCTGAAGATAAGGAACATTAATATCTATCCTTTGTCATATTAAAATCACTTTCTGATTCCTTTGGAGGTTTTTGGTCCTGCTTCCCAGTGCACAAAGGCTGGCCCTATTAGATAAGTCTACCCTGGTGCATGATAAGCTTGGTTTCCAGATAGTGCTTGGGCAGTTCACCTACGGTCTTAGTTGCTTTCTGAAATGGGGGAGTCCTAATGGCTTTAGATAGGATTGCATCTGAGTGGCCTCTGTTCTGATTGTGGTGGTCCCCTTGGGTTTTCAGAGGAGCTCCAGTAAATGAAGAGTCAGAAAAGACACGTAGAGCTGGAGAAAGATGAAGAATGAGTTTGATCCAACATTTGTATGAGTTCATATTATGACCAACATGGTGATGATAAGGGCAGCAAAATGTAATTATTTTTACATCCTTATCACATTTGCAGAATGCCATCCGGTGCCCTTTTTTAAGGCTAATCTGTTAACTTTTATGGGGGTGGAGGGCCAGGATGAACATTAGAAGGGCTGTTGTGAGGAATCTGCTAGGCATCTGACAAAGTCACTTGGATTCATTCAGATAGACTCTGGATGGGCATGTCCTCTGGCTGGGCACTGGCTGAGCAGGAGTCCTGCTCTATTATCTGGGGAGGAGTTTGAACCTGTGAATCTCAAGGAAGTGGACAGAGCCCCTCACAATCTTAGCACTGCTGCCTATGTATTGGTCACTTGTCTCATCTAGTTATTAAGGCATCTGAGGTGACAATGGTTGGTTTTAAGCAATGGTTAATTCATCTTTTTGAGGGGGGTGGGGTTGTCCTGCCTGCTTGAAGGAAGTAGTAGTACATCCCTTCCTCAGAAAGTCATTGCTGGATCCAAGATGTTGGATAATTTTTAATCTATCCAACTTCCCCTTTCTGGGAAAGCTTGTGAAGAAGGTGGTGGTGTGGAAGCTTCAGAGTGCTCTGAAGGAAGTGGATAATCTGGAGTTTTTTCAGTCAGGCTTTTTTCAGTAAGGCTGGATATAATACTGAGCCAGTGTTGATTGTCCTTGTGGAATATCGCTGTCAGGACTTGAGTAGAGATGGTACAAGTCCCTTGGTCTTGCTTTGATTTGTCAGTGGCATTTGAAACCCTCGATCATAGTATGCTTCTGGTCAATCTCCAAGGACTGGAAATGGGGTCACTGTGATTCTCCGCTTCCTCTGGGGCTGGTTCTAGTCAGTGCTAGTAGGTGAGGAAACATCTAGTTTGAAGCCCTTGCTATGTGGGGTTCCAGAAGGTTTAATACTTTTCCCATTCCTGTTCAACATTTACAGAACACTGCTAACTGACAGTCACCCATTAGCAAGGGCTCAGCTGTCATCAGTATGTGGATGATGTGCAGCTTTACATTTTGACCTCTGGCCAGACAGTCAGTGCTGTAGAGGTCCTTGTCTTGGTGTCTGGAGTCTGTAAAGGCTGGATGGGGACTGAATGGCTTTGGTTTCAAGGACCTTCCAGTCCCAGGAATTTAGTTCTTGATAGGATTGCACTTCCTCAGGTGAAATTTGTACATAATTTGGGGGTCCTTATGAACTCTTGATTCACGTTTGGAGACTAGGTGGCAATTGCAGCCACAAAGACCTTTCCCCAAATCCTTCTTGTGCACTAATTTCATTCTTTCCTGGATCAGGACTGCCTTCTTATGGTCACCTCAAGTTTGGACTATTGAAATAAACTTACACTTTACCCTTGAAAATTACTGAAAGTGACAACTGGTGTAGAATGTGGCTGTGTGGGTAGTTATGGGAGCTTCTGTTTTGCCCATGTAGCATCTCTGCTCTGCGAGCTGTACTGGCTACCTGTGGTCTTCCTGGTGCAATTGAAGGTGTTGGTTGTCACCTATAAGCCCTTTGTGGCTTAGGATCTGCTTACTTATGGTACCAACTTTCTCCTGTTGTTTCTGCCCAATCAGAAAGATGTAGAGTGGCATATTCCAGATCCCATCTGTTAAGCACTATAGGAGATGTGTCTTCTCTGTAATTATACCTGTCTTGTGGAACATTGTTCTCCCAAAGTCTGTGTAGCTCTGACCCTACTGTGATTTCATAAAACTCTGAAAACCTGGCTGTTTCAGAAGGGCTTAAGATATAGGGTGAGGTGATCTGCTCCCTAACAGTGTATATTGGTTTTATGATTGTGGTTGAATTTGGTGTATCCTTTCCCCAGTATGCTGAAGTATTGTCTTCTTGGTTCTTGTTTCCTTTTATTATTTTTGTTTTGCTGTTTTTAAACCCTAACATATAAGTTGACTAGAGTTATTCTGGTGACTGAAGCAGCATACTAGATAGACAGATGATAGATAATAGATTTCTGCTGGAACTGTTTGTTTAATATATTTTATGGCTTTACTGCTTAGCAGTGGAGTAGATCAATCTCTCAACTTGGTGCTTTCCATATACTATGTTAGACTACAGTTTCTAACATCTTTAGTTAGTTGAGCCAGGAATACATGCAATAAATGATATACTAATTAGTATTAGTTGGATTTCCTGTGATGGCTTATTCATTCTAGAGCCTAGTTCCATTGTGCCACATTATGTTTTCAAGGTAATCAATATTGTAGAAGAATGAGATACATTCTATAGATATACTTTGCTGGAATATCAAATAGTTGTCCCTCTCCTGAGTACAAGTCAGGTGAATTTTGTTCATAAAAATAGAATGATGTTATTTTTCTAAATTTGAATGAAACTCTCAAAGTGTTAGATTTGTCAATAGTGTGGAATAAATCTTAATTCTCAGAAAGTGTATGAGGAGAGAAGATCTATCTCATCTGACCTATAAATTTCTTCAGTGTGCTCTTTTTATTGTATGTATTTTAACTATACACTTTTGTTCTCTACCAATCCTGCATTCAGAATTAATTATCAAAAAAGAGGCTGGTGATTCTGCTGTGATATTTGCACTTCCTTCTAGGCCAGTTTTCTCAATTCCTTATGTTCTTGTTTCTAAATAGATTATAAACACGTGTGAAGAAAGAGTCTCTTCTAAGTGACGTCATGCTTTCTGCAACTCCCCTGTATGGCAATGTTCATAGCTGGATGAGCAGTGAGAGGGTCCGCATGTGTGGGATTAATGAAGACAGGTAAATATTTAAGTTTCAGAAAACTTAAACTACACCATTATTACTGCAGAATTTCTGTTGCCTTAGGTATTCTATTGCTTGTTATTTTAATTTTAAAAAGGAAGAAAATTACACACTGATTTTTGGTGTTATGCTAATGAATTTTGGTGATGTGATCCTGTGGGGACAACAGAAAAAGGTTTGGGGCTCAGATGCAGCCCTCTGCCCAGCCGTTTTTACTAGGTAGTTATATGATGATAAATCTGTGGAGATGCATTTCATAAGGCATCATGGGATGGGAACAAAAGACATGATTCAGAGCAGACCAGTCCATGATTTACTATTTTAACAAATGATGTTCAAGTTTTCAGAGGGATACTTATTGTTAATCTGTTACAGCAGAATCAACATTCATGTAGCCCTGGTAAGTTTATGCTATAATAAATTTGCTGAGTCTTCAGTGTGCCATAGGACTCTTGATTACAGTATTTTTAGTGATGTGGAAGATACTGGAAAGGAGTAGGTCCCAAAGTTATCAGCCCTCTTTTTCTCTCTCTGTCATTCATTCTTACACATACCCTTGCATAATTTTTTGGTCCTAGCCCAGAGAAAGTGAATCACAATTACATTCCATTGAAATCCATGGGATAACTCAATGGTAATTGATTTCAGGCTCATATATTAAGTCCATTCTAGGCTGCAGTCTTATGGTCAGTTTCAGGAGAGTAAATAATTTCATTCATTGGGCTTAGTTTTGAATAGTCACGTATAGCATCACATTATATTAAGCACTGCTATTAATACTCACCTGTCCATTTTTCAGAGTAAGTTTTATTGGAGACTTGATAAAATGATTATATTTCAATTCACAAATAGTACAATATTTGTGTTTAATGTTACAACATTGTTCTGTTGAGAAGCGTATTTCCTCAATGGTTTTCTGATTGGAAGTGCACATAGTAGCTGATGACAGCCATTCTCTTTTTGACACCATTTTTTTCTCTTTCTGAAACCCACTTTTTTTTTGGCACTCTGGAGTGACATGACAATATTTATCTGATGCCTCCCTTATAGGTTATGCTAAGGACTACAGATTGCTAACCCTTGCTGCAGATGTATAGCTTGTTTTTTTTTTTTGTTTAAAGTGATATGCAAACAAATACTAAGAAATAAATAATAATTTACAAAACATGGCAGATGAAGACTTTTGGCATTACATATTGTTATCAAAGTATTAGAAAAGGGATACATACAAAAATATACTCTTTTTGTGTTTTGCCAGCTGTGTTTTGCTACAATAATGGGTCAAAACTATAAAAAATATGGGTGCTGCTTCATCTTATATATTGATCGTGTCACTTTAAATATCATAGGATTAGAATTGGCCCTTCTGGGTAATGATGAAACTTTCCTTCTGCTATATGTCAGCAATTGTGTCCCTGGGATTTGAAAGTTGGCTCTAAGGTGCTTTTTTATCGGCATTTTCTATGATAACAAGTCCCTGGGCTGCAACACTGCCGAGGCACAGATGTGTGGCTCCCTCTAACAGCTAATGTTTGTATGATATTAGAAAGGTGTACTAATTTTCTACTTCCTACATTTTTTTAAAAAAGATAAACCAACCTGGAATGTTAACTAGGCTTATTGTATGTCTCTAAAGAAACAATGCACTTCATTTTATAGGAAAACTTTTGAAATTGAACAAAAAAAAATCATAACATATTCTAAAGAGCAGAGTCCCAATGAAGAGTAGATAGGCTATTTATTAGGGCTTTGGATCCAAACACAAAAATATAGTTTGGCATCTGAGTGTGTGCAAATGAGGCATTTATATGTAATTCCTTGAACCAAACAAACACTGGGTGTTTCAAGTAGTTGCCTATAGGTGCTGTGCTCATGCCCCAGTATACACCAGAGCACCTTTTGCCTACAATCCAAAGTGCTGTGCTGCCATAATATTTTCAACTGCATATTAATGTACTAATAAAGATAATTTAATAGGAAAAAGCAGACATCAAGATGTAAATGTTTTATAATTTTATTTCTAAGTCTGTTTTTTTTTTAAAAAAAAACATTCTCTTAAAAACAGGAAAATCCCTGTTAATGATGGAGATGTCTTGAAAAGCAGGCTGGAATTAAGGGAAGAAAATCACCTGAACCACAGTGTGGTAAGAAATGGATAATGTAGATTAATGATATAATTTTTTTTTATTGTTAACCTGCTGTATTTTTTTCATTTACAAATAATTAAGTGCAGTTGGAACTGATGAAGCATTTAGTTTAGCACGATTCAGATGTGGCATTCAGACATTAAGATTGCATTTATTTTTTTTTTGTGGCATGAGTAAGGCTTCATGGTAAAACTTTTCCATGCTATATTTTTTCTAGAGTGAATCCTAAGGCTTTTATTCTGTGATATACTTAGTAGCATATCATGAGCAGTTATGGTAGTTCTAAATAATATTACAATCATTCTTTCACACTTAGGAATTCTGTGATTGATAGTTGCACAGGCTTGGTTATGAACTCTTACTACTGTATAGTCTCAGTGTCTTGAGAGTGCCTAGTTACCACAGCTTTGCCACTCAGAACTGTTTGAAAGCTGGTTTGTATGCCAGTTGTATGCCTCCAGATATTATTTCTGCAGGATACCCCAATTCCATGCCTTAAAATGTTTTTGCTGTCACTTTCTTGTTGAACTATTTGGCAGTAGGGACCTTATCTGACCCAGCAGACAGAGAGGTTTTGGAGTTGTTTCTTTGCAAAGTGATAAGTTGTTTCTTTGCAAATAAGAAAAAAGACAGGAACTAGCTGTCATTGGAAAACAAGCTTGTGTTTTGGTGCTGGTTTAGTGCTGGAGAATGGGACACTGAAGGACCCAGGTCTTGCCTGTTTGCATCATACTGTGGTTTGCTGCTGCTTGGGTAGCTCATCCTCTTAAACTTACATAAAGGGCAAAACTGGGGAGTGGTTTTGCCTTCTCCTTTCTCACAAACTCCTCACTATTATGTAGATACTGGGGAAAACAACAGATTACATCTTTTGTGGAATCACTAGCCTTTGAAGTTATAATTGCATGATACTTTTCATGCGTACTTAGAGTAAATCCTACTGAGTTTCCGGGACTTCTTAAGTGTGTATAAAGGGTTGGAATCTAAATATCCTAACTGGTAAGGAGAGTTTTTAAAAGTATTATTTGGGTAATTTGTTACTTTAGATACATGGATATGTATACCAATGCATTGACATTTGTTCTAGGAAGATCCCCCTAAAAAGGACCACAGCTGGCAAAAGATACAGCTGTTGAAATCTATTTCTTTTAATGGGTATGTCATATGAGTAGGAGAAATTTTAAGAGATTATTATTTAAAGGCAGTATCTACATAGAAGTTTGCTAAGTATGAAAGGATCTGGATGCCTGTCAAGTTATTCTTAATTTTCCTTAAAAAATCAAACTTGGCCGATAAAAGACAGGCTCTTTAAACTCATGTATGAAACAGCTTATAATTTTAAATGCTTGATTTCCTTTATATTTATTGATGCACATTGTTTTTAATTATGGAAAGCCTATTATTTCCTATTGTTTCCATTGATTAAAAATACTAACTGTAATCTTGATTACCACTTTCACTAGAAGCCAAAATAACATCTTTTTTTATTCTACAAAGGTGGATACAGCGGCAGTGCATCGCATTGACAGCCTTGCAGCTTTGACTATGGATCGCTCTGGACTTATGCGGGAAGGGCTTAGAGTCCCCAGTAGTATTGTTTATTCCAGTTTATGTGGACTTGGCTCAGACAAGCCCCGGGATGCTACAAGTGCTATTACTGGCCTTGGATTTGGTCCTGAAAGAAATCCAGAGATACAGTTCAAGTCTAATCCCACTGAAGCAATTGAAAATGGAGCTGGAAAGAACCCAAATGGCTTCAGTGCTCTGTACAAAACACCACCTGGAATACAAAAGAGTTCTGTTCCAACTGGGGAGACCTTAGGCTTGGACAGAAGCTCAAGTGACAAACAAAGTCCTCTCAGTGTCAATGGTGCTAGTTACCTAAGGCTACCCTGGGTAAATCCTTATATGGAGGGTGCTATTTATCCTTTTCTTGATTCACCAAATAAGTATTCATTGAATATGTATAAGGCTTTGCTACCTCAGCAGTCCAATTTTAGCTTGCCACAGCATCTGACTTATTCACCTGTATGTACAAATGGCGAACGTTTTTTATACTTGCCACCTTCTCATTATGTTGCTCCCCACATTCCATCATCATTAGCTTCGCCGATGAGGATCTCAGCTACATCAGCATCACCTGCAATTCCCTCTTTGGGACACTGTCCAGATAAAGGCTTGTCTTGGAAGATGGGAGTGAGTCCAGCAAATCCCATAGACTCTCATACCTATCCACATATTCAAAATAGTAAACCACCCAGAGTCCCATCTGCTAAGCCAGCTGCTAATAATATGTCAACTGACCCTACTGTTTTGCTGTCTCATTCACCCAGGCCATCACCTAGAGTCCATCTCCCAACACAGGTTGGAGATGCTTACTCAGAGTTCCATAAACACTTTTCTAGAATTTCAACTTCTCCTTCTTCAGTTGCACTCCCCAAGCCATACATGAATGTAAGCAGTGAATTTTCTTCAAGAGTCTCAAATGGGAAAGCTCCCAAAACACATGATCCAAATGAAATTTCTCAGCAACCTGCAGTGCATGCAAGGAAAACAGGTCATGACAGGAAAGATAGCAGATCCCCTCCATTATTAGAAAAGCAGCAAATTGTTACCAAAGATATCATAGACAAACCACTGGATTTGTCATCAAAAGTTGCTGATGTAGATATAACCAAGTCTGATCATGTTAAGAAAATGGTACCAACTGTGTTAGTTCATAGCAGGGCTGGAGGAGGGTTGGTTTTACCTGGAGGTGATCTTCCAAAAGAAACTATTTCTCCTGGAAATGGTTGTCCTGTCTACAGGCCTGAGATAATTAGTACTGCACCTTCCTCCTGGGTGGTTCCTGGTCCAGCTCCTAATGAAGATAACAGTGGCAAAAACATGCAGTTGAAAAACAAGGCACCCGACTGGGTAACACCTCAACAACGAAGTTCTTCTTGCCCTAGAATGGGAGGTACAGAAACAGTAATTAATAATATTTCAGGGTCTTTGTCGAGTGAAGGTCGCCCAGCATCTGCTTCTCCAGCTCCAAATCCTAATGTAGATTGTCCCAAGACTAACATTTCAGTAGAAACTACTGCATCTGTCATACAGCATATAGGACAACCTTTAGTATCATCATCGTCATCTCCATCATCATCAAAGCATAGTAATAAGGCAGCTAAATGCAATAATCAAGAACCTATGTTCAAGGCAAATGAAAACACTCTTGCCCCAGGTTCCATATTTTTCTCTCCAAATGATGCATTCCGATCTCCACCATTGCCCTATCCAAGAAGCTATCTCCCATATCCAATTCCAGATGGTTTAGCATTAGGTCCTTTGCCTCTACATGGAAAAGGACCTGTGTATCCTCACCCAGTTCTGTTACCTAATGGCAGTCTTTTCCCTGGGCATTTGGCTCCTAAACCTACTATTCCATACAGTCTGCCAACTAGCAGTGGTGAGTTTATGACATATCAAGATGCACTGGGTATGGGCATGGTACATCCAATGTTGCTATCCCATGCAGCTCTTGAGCTAAAAGATGATAAATCAGAAAGGAGATCTAGATCACATGAAAGGCTCCGTTATGAAGACCCTGCTTTGAGAAGCAGATTGCCAGAGATGCTGGAAACCAGCACAAAGTTGCATTTTGAAGTACCTACAGAGAGAAATGTGAAGTCACACCAAAGTTCAAGTCATAGTAAAAATAGTGCCAAAAGTGATAAACTCATGTTTGCAGAATTGAGAGATGAACAAGATGTGAAAGGTGAAACAGGTTTGACAAATCCTAGCTTTCCTATTGAAAATGGTAATCAAACAAATGACCCTACAAAGCACAAGGTGGAACAAGCCTTTCAGCATAGAGATTTTATTGTAATGAGAGAAGAATGTGGAAGAAATAATTTCCATGAAGTGTACAACTTTAAGCAAGTCCAGAGTCCACCCCCATCAATCTTCACCTTAAGGAAAGATGATCTCTCAGCAAGCCACAATAGAGAGAGATTGACGATTCCCCCTTCCTCTGTGTTTCTGGAGACTGCTCATGGGAATGATGGCTTGGCTATGTCCTTTTGTAAAATGCCAGATGATGCTAAACAGCTCTGTATGGGAAATGCACAGTCAAACATTGAAATCAATCAGACATATGCCAAAGATGGGACTGAGGGTATGGAATCTAATGATGGCAAACTCCTGAAACCTAAGCCATCTAAGCTGGCAAAGAGAATAGCAAACTCTGCTGGTTACGTAGGTGACCGATTCAAGTGTGTTACAACTGAACTGTATGCAGATTCTAGCCAACTGAGTCGAGAACAGCGGGCCTTGCAGGTGAGTCTCTGGGGTTTACTTACCAAAACACTTTTGCTTTATAAAATTGCAGTTGAGAATGAAAGTTGATGTTATACGGGTTGGGAGAATGTATGTATGTACTATAAATTTAAGTCTATTGACACAATTAATGATAAATGTGCATATATGAGGGTACTACTATGAGGTGAGAGGAAGTTGAGCATTAATAAATACAAAATATATGTAAATAATAGTAAATAATTTAATCTCAAAAAGCATATTATATAATAGTGAAGAGCTGAAGAATGCATGTTTCTTATTTGCATAAGTAGTTTTTTTATAGCTTGTTGCTTGCTTGGCCAGCATTGTATGGTAATGGCAAAGGTTCTAATTAATATTCTAAATGTGGCATTTGATAAAGGAGCTGTATTTTAGTAAATTAGCACAACTTCTTTACCAAGCAAAAATATAGCATGGTAGAATAGAAGTTGTAATGAATTTGATGTTGAATGATGGCAAATATTGTAGGTTAAGTTTACGATTTATGACAAGATGAGTTAAGCCAAATTGTTTGCATTGTTAAGAAAAGAATTAGTTGATGCTTATAAAAATGGATGAAATTATCCAAATGATCCATTGAGTGCCCATTTTAATTACATAGATGGAAGGATTACAAGAGGACAGTATTTTATGTCTACCTGCTGCTTACTGTGAGGTCAGTTCTTCAAATTTTTATTACTAGAATCTTACATAAAACTTTGAGTTAAAATTTCATTTCCAAGTACACAAAGGGAAATTGTGGGCCATGATCGTCTTTATTCATTGTACTGTTTTTCTTTTTTGCTTGTTATATCTCTCAAAAGGTGTGTTTGTGTGCGTATGTGTATATTATACACACATACCTGCATACTATCCATATGTGTGTGTGTGTGTGTATGAATTATATATATGGTATAAATGTATATATATGAAATAATTGTGCATATATTTGTGTATAAATACAATAACTTTTGTATACTGAGATTTTTAAATTTTGTAATTATATATAGGTCAAATAATTGTATCTCAATTTTGTATGCATCACCTACTTGACTTTGAACAGAACTTTTCATTTGGATGTACTTTCATTTAAGGTAAGGTAAATGAAGTAGCTCTTATTGTGAGTCTTTTTTTCATATCAATTCTCTTTCTAGCGTGCAATGATGCGCTTCTCAGAGTTGGAGATGAAAGAGAGAGAAGGCCATGTAGCAACCAAAGACTCAGAGGTCTGCCGATTCAACCAAGCAGACTGGGAAAACTTGAAAGGAAATAATGAAAAAAAGCCTAAGTCTGTCACTTTGGAAGATGTCATTGCTGGGCCAAATGACAAAGACAGATGTAAGCATACATTAGTCTTATCAGGAGATTTGTGGAGAAGGAGAGCTAATTTACTCACTGAGAAGAGAGATATTATGTTCTAATTTGACTAGTTTGGGTACTTAATATGCATATAACTTTTTTTATTTGGAGCATCTGAATATATGAACCAATGGGAAATCCAATCACAAGTTACTGGTTTACTTCCTTAACTTTTTGATATGTTACTTATAAATTCATATATTCACCTACCAGTTCAAAAATATTTTGAAGCACTGTTAGTATACCATAAGGGAACTCTTGGCTGGGTAATGTCAGTGAATTTCCTCTTTGAAAAAGATTTCATCTCTTCTTGAAGGTGCTATCCAGGGCTTGTTTCTGGTGTCTTTTTTCTGTCTACAGCTCATGGCACAACTGAATAGCATAGAAAACCCAAAAGTATTGGTAGGTTAAAAGAAAAGCAGCTACTGTTTCTGCTCTCATGCATTTGGGCAGGCCATAGCAAGTGATAGGGTAGAGTGAGGAACTGGCTTCTGTCAAAGGCAGTAAAGTCCAAACAGTAAAGATACAGAAGGGTGAATAAGTCTTTGAATAAAAGGCAGTTGGGCACAAGTCTAAGATACATATAATGCATGTCAATTGATTGAAGGGTATGTTTGGTCAAGGAATATTTTGAAACAATTCATGATGGAATGGGTTATCCATGCTAGCCGCCCAAGTTCATTCTAAGAACATCAGTTAATTTTACTGTATTACAGATTTTCTTCTGGGATTTAATGGCTTTGTTTCAATGTAGTTATCAAATATATGTTCAGACTGATCCTTACTTGAAACCTTAAAATTATCCAGAAAGTAGCAATGATCAGAATAAACAATCAGATCCCTACTTCCACTTATTCCTTGTTACCAAACATCATTTTCAAGGCTGTATGAGATAAAAAGTACTGAATTATTGAGGGATATGTATACCACGGCTTGGAATAAAAATGAGCATTGAGTATCTCAGGCTGAGTGAAGAGTACAAATACAGATCTTTTCAAAATCCATGTCTCTGGATTGCATCCCAAGGTTGCTGTGAATTGATAGGATGGTGGAACCTTAAAAATACAGTCTTGTAAATGATACAGCTGTACAGAGATCAAATAAGAATTAAGGAGTTAGTATATTACTATCAGATATTATAAATGATATCCTGTGGCCCCCTTTTTATCTCCTATTGCTGTAACATGCAGAGGCACTCCCTGTGTGATTTAGGTTTATCATCTGAGTTTCCCTTTTTCTACTCAGTACAATTAGTAATCATTGATGGAGTGAGGCCGGAATCGTGTAGCACTCATGACATGATGTGGTACTTATTTTAGTTTACAAGGAAGCAAAGGAGACACCAGATTGTTGATCCCCATAGTAGGTGTAATATATGGTCTAGCTCTTTGCTTCTATATAATGAAATTTTGGTCAAATTACTCTGTCATTGCTGGGTGTATTTTTTTGTCTATGGATTGATGAAATGCTTGCAACATAATTCAGAAGGGGGGCTAATAAATACATTAAAAACATTGTGATAAACAGCTTAAAAACATCAATTTTCTTTTGTCTGCTAGTTTCTATAATGGTCATGTCTACAAGATAGAGAAAATTTCCAAGTAGTCTCATGGAGTTTCCATTTGGTCCCTGAAACTGCAGCTGATCAGGAGACCTGAGCAGAAAGCTTTTTCTAGGATGATTGTTGTTACTTCAGAAAGTGGTGACCTTATATAGAATATACCAATAAGCATAAGTACTTGGCACGATCATATGTTTAGCAGAGGTATAAGACAGGTGTAAGTCAGGCAGAATAAAACCAGATTTTATTGTGTGCTATGTTAAAGTGTGGAGTATGCATTTTCAAGTTGACAGCCATACTCTCTTGCACAATAATTCTTTCAGTTCTCCTTGTCTCAGTGTTCTGTATTTTTTCCCCCAACAGATCCTCAGCTTTATGTAGCTACTAAATATGTCCAGCCTTTGGACTATCCTTGTTTGTTTTCAATATGGTGATTGTTTTCATTTTTACAAGCCAGGGGTGTTTATCCCTTTAATTTTTTTCATGTATCTTTTGTACATTCTACTGACATTCTTATGGGTTCCTCCAAGCTTTTTGCTACCTCCCACTTCTAAAAGAAGAGAGAATTGACAACATAAGATGGGTAATGTGTTGAAGGAACACAGTGCTAAGACCTACTATGTGGGGTGTGAGACTGGATGCCACAGACAGGTATTAGAAGAGAGTAAAGCCAAACGTGTGTATTTTATAAACCCAAATATAATCTTATATGTGTAGAAACTAGTCCAATACAGGCTCATTAAAATCTTTCTCCCTATAATTTTGTGTTTTCCTGGCAGAAAGCTCTTTACATGGCAGAGCATTTCAGAGTGGAATCCTGCATGCAATCTGAAGTAGTATAGCTCATTTCTTAATTTTTATGAGCAGATCTAGTCTGAATGGGACTAGTCAATTGTACTTTCCATTGTACTAATAATAGTTTGGCTACAGTGAATGCATAGGAATGGAGAAACAATTTTTATTCTTGGTGCTTTGGTGTAGAGATGGGACTGTTGCACTGGGACACAATCTCATTCAAGCAAGCATATGTTGTATTGATATCACAGTCTGCTTGATTAAATGCTGTCCAAATATATCGGACAGTATATAGGAGAGCCCACTGTGCTTACTGGCAGTTTAGCCCATGTTTATTTCCATCCATTAGCCCTGGTAGTGAAATGGATAGAAATAAGAACATTGGCCATCAATGGACAAAGTGGTGCTTTTCTCCTAGGAAAGTTCCCAGTGTAAGAATTAAAAAGCATACTGAAGAAGAGTTGAAAAGCTGCTTTTGTCATCAATTTTCAGAAAATAAAAAAATTCCTTTTGAAAGTGTTTTCTATTGACAGTAATTAGGCAAAGTTAAAACTTGTTTGTTACAGTATGTTCAATTAAGATTGGAATATTACAGACAATGAATGGTCCTAGAAGGACATCTATTTTTGAATTTGCAAAGGAATGCAAATTTGTCTTAGTTTCTGCATTACTATAGTTGGGCTAAAACTACAGGTTGGAAATGTTAGACTGTAAAGTGCTAATATAAGAAATGCCTAACATCAAACACTGCTGAATAAAATCCTCACACTCAGTAGATTAATAGTGGCTTAATTGTGCAATGTTTGTAAAATTACTTTTTCCTTTGGATTTTTATATGTAGAATTTTTTTCCCCCTGCCTTTGAGTCAGTGTTGCTCCTGGCGACTGCCTGGACACCTTCATGCAGTTCTCTTGGCAAAGTTTTTCAGAAGTGCTTGCCCTTGCCTCCTTCCTAGGGCTGAGAGAGAAGGACTGGCCCAAGGTCACTCAGCTGGCCTTGTGCCTAAGGCAGGACTAGAACTCAGGGTCTCCTGGTTTCTAGCCTGATGCCTTAACCACTCTCATATGGAGAGAATACAGACTAGTAAAGGAGAGAAATGTTTGTGCTGGATTAAATTATTGCATACTGATACATAAGGGTAAAATGAGAGGAGAGTTTAGTGGCATAATTTTCTACCAAGGACTTATATGGTGGAAATAAAATAAACTTTGACAAATAGCTATTGAGGTAATACTTGTCTGTATTCTGTATAGTCATTTGATGTCTAGCTATATTTGGGTGCTTATGTTTCTTCTGAATATTTGTCTTAGCTCTGATTTAGGTTCAGGACAGAAGGGTTTGTTGACATAAGCACTTATGTACTTCCTCTGCTCTTGTCTCTATGTTCCTTTGTCACTGGTTAAGAGATAACGAGGCTGGAACTGAGATGGCGAACAGCATTTAGTAGATTTTAGGTCAGAGGCTGGCAACCTTTCAGTGGCTGAGGGCAGCATTGGGAAGGGGGAACTGAGGGCCACAAGCAGGATAGAGATGTAATGACATCACATGAATGGATAGTGACAGAATTTTCAGTTTTGGAGGATTTGGGAAGGATATAATTTTTTAAAACACGTGTTAAGCTGTCATCTGACAGCTTCTCTTTGTTCTTTGTTGGTACAGGAAATTGTACTTTCATTTGGCAATTTGCTACTGAACTTTAGTTAAGAGCCATACAAAATGGTTTGGGGCAGCATAAGGCTGAAGGCCACAAGTTGCTCACTCTTGGCTTAGAGTGAAAGAAAAAAAAAAAGAGGTAGCAACCTTAATGTATTTGAAGTCTGCTTGCTGTGGTTTAAGGGCCCAAAAAGCAAATGAAGGGGATATGGAAGTTGTATACAATGGGTGTGTATTTTAGCATTTGACTTAAGTGGTGAGTCTATTAGTATCAATCTACTTTTCAAACATCCATTTTTCGTGGGTTGCTGAAGAAAATAAGGCATGTCACAAAAAGAGGAGGAAGTTAAGTCAGTAATAAGATGGATGAGATAAATTAAAGGAAAATGTGTGGAGGAGATGGGACAAACAAGACAAGAGGCACAAATAGAAGGAAAAAGCAATTAGATGCATTCTTTTAAAAAATCATAAAAGAAGTAGAATCACAAAAATATAGAAAAGACATATAAGCCTAACAGAAGTACATAATTTTTCTTCCCTAGATGAAGGGGGGGGGGGAGAAGGGAAATAACATTGCAATTTAAAAAGTGAAGGCTCATCCTTATACTTTTCTCATGCAGAATTTGGTTTACTTAGATCCATTTCAGCAATATATGTCCACTGAAGATCATGACCTGCCAAGGTGAATTTTGCTGTGTAGTATATAGAAGTGCCTTTAAGGTTTACCGTAACATTAAGGATACAAAATATCAGCCCAATTTTCATGGCCTACATATGGCTGTCATAGTTGAGTAAAATAATAAAAGTTATTGTTATTATATTTCTATCCCACCTTTGTTTATATATAACTCAAGGTGGAAACCATTCTTAATGGGCTGAGGGAGAGCGACTGGCAAAATTCTGGAAGAAAGGTAGTAGTGCCTGCACTACACATGGAGCTGTATTGCACTTCTAAAATATTTTACTTAATGAATACACTTGTATGAATATTACCATAATTCAGGGAAATGCAGGCTGACAAAGGACAGAGGCAAAGTCAAAATACACTTCCTCCAGTCTCCTCACCTTGCTCTGTTCATTGGTAAAAATGGCTAGATATTAGAGAAAAGAAAACAAGGGCCATAATTTCCCAACCCTCTCAGTGGGGAAAAGAGCTGCACGGTATGGGAGTGGTGGGACCCTGCAGAAGAATTAGTGCATCACAGGAAAGGCTGCTAGGTCACTTTCTGTCCACAGACCATCTCCATTCCCACTGTAGGTTATGCTTAAGAGCAGGGATGCTGAGCTTTTTCCTGAACCAAGGACTGTGCTTTATATTTGAGGGATGGGATGGGGACCGCATTGCAAAAAATACTGACTGAGGTCAGAGCAAAACTACAGTTGATTTTATTTGCATGTCAATTTATTTAAAATCAAAGATAATGAATAACTCGCCGGTTGTGTACTTAATAATTTCCCCCTGCTACAGTATTGCATTACACATTACAATTGGTTAACAACTTCTAAAGGTGTCAGGAGCCACATCTAAGGTTTGGGGGACAGCATCCAAAATCTTTGCATGCTGCCTGGAACCTCAGATTATGGACCTATTTTATAACTCACATTTTTTGGGTTTGCATTTGTATTAAGGCAGGCAACTCACAATATCGTTACAGCCACCTGAGTTTTCCTTGTGAATTAATAGTTTAGTGAAGTGATAGTGAGGTTTCTGTGTACTTGGTTTTCCTATTGGCTTTTGTACAGCCTGAAAAAGATTTGCTTTAAAAATATACGTTGTCACTAGATTTACTCTGAAGAGATCAGATGCATTCTTGCACAATAAACTAACTAAATTAATAATGTGGCTTTATTTAAAGGTTATTTTCATAATACAGAAAATGTCCGTGATCACAGTTCTGAAATTCCTGAGGACAAAGGTTCTCCAGCAGATATTTGTTTGGAGAGATTTACTGTGTATGAAAAGACAAATGACCAATCATTAGAAGATATCAGCCAGGTTCCGTGCCCACATCTGGACCGAAAGCGTAAACATTCTGGTGAGAATATGCAGAATGATGGAAGCCTTAAAGAAAACTTTGTAGAGGAACTGGAAGAAGAATTTGCATCAAAAGCAAAAAAGAAGAAGAACTCTAAAGGTAACCAAGCCCAGTTGGTCTGTTTTAAGGCATGGTTTGTGAAATGAACATTGTTTGGATTAAAGTGCCCCTTTATGGCCTTGATTCTGCCAATCCCAAATTTTCCCTGAATTATGTTTGGAAATTTGAAGGGTTAAAAACTAGTCATTGGACAATGTAATTATTGGACAATGCAGAGGGCTGTAGTGCATGCAACCTCTTCCTGAGCTAACCTTTTAAAATGCAAGTATAATGGTGAAGCTGAAAGAATCTGCCCCACAAGTGAACTATAGCTTTTGTTTCAAGTTCAGGGCCTTTTGATTAATTTTTAGTTATTTTTCCATTAGATGACTGGCCTGAGAGGGAAATGACAAACAATTCCTCTAACCACTTAGAAGAGCCCAATTGTAATGAGGTGACCAACCTGAAGGTGTGCATTGAATTAACAGGGCTCCATCCCAAAAAGCAGCGTCACCTGCAGCATCTTAGGGAACTATGGGAGCAGCAGGTGTCACCAGAGAGATCCCCACCCGGCAAGTTGGGCCGGCAAAGCAGGAAAGATTTAGCTGAGGCTGTTCAGCCAGAGGCCACTGCAAAGGTCAAAGACTGCACAGAAGAAAGGCACACCAAGAAAAGGTCAGAGGTCAAAAGCAATAGAAGTTGGTCTGAAGAGTCCCTCAAAACAAGTGACAATGAACAAGGTATGCAGAGATTACTAGGGAAATCTAGCATTATTTAGTGACGCATGCTGCCACCAGTGCTAAGAAGTTGTCAGTAGTGATTTTTGGGGGATAGAATATAATTATATTATAATATAGTAATATATTTATTGTAATGTATTTTATAATGTATTATAATATATATTATATTATTACTATATAAAAGACTTAACCACTATGAAAATTAAGTTGTGCTTGTTTTGCCAAATTTGTAGAGTGTGGTATAATATTAATTATTTTAAAACCAATATCCTAGATGTTTATGTTTGTTCGTTTTAGAAACAATCCTGAACAATTTTTGTATGATGTTTATGATCATAATAATGCATTCTTATCATTTGAAAATGGTTGATTTTGTTGCGGAGTCTTTGGTGCTCTCTGAGCTAGTGATGTTACCTAGTTGAGTAATTAAATGTCTGCAAACCAACAACCAAGCTCAGAGAGCACCAAGGACTCCACAATACAACCCTGAGTTACATATATTCTCTTCTATTGGTTGATTTTATAAAATATGACTATATCAAATGGGCTAAAATTAAGCCAAGTATAAAATGTTCTGAGTTTTTGATCACTCATGGGAATAAACTGCTCCATTAGGTTTTGAACTTCTGGGCTAAGTCTTCATGTTCAGGGAGCTGGGAGATAAAAAGACATCAGCTTCTATCTGATTTATGTTAGGAGAAGTGACAGATGATGTCCTGAATCTCTTGTCCTTTATGGTCTAATTTGTAGTGGCAGGGTTCTTCTATTTAGCTGGTTTTACCACATCTTCTCTTTCCTATTTAGTCAGTTACTTTACTTGTGAACTTCATTTTTCCACAAATACAATGTATTCCAAAGCAGTTCAGATAAAATAAAATGATAATTTAAATACTATAAGTGCAACAATACTATAATATACTACTGAAATGCTTGATCGCTGGTGTTGTACCCTTGGGTTGAAATAGGTCCCTTTCCCTGGGAAACTTACTATCACAAGGGTCCAACAAGGTTTTATACCTGGTTCATTATGCCAAGTTCCCATCAGCGCTACCACTCAGGAAACTACACTACTGTAGTCAAAAGCCTTCCTGTTGGGCTTATTCATGAGCATACCTAGTAGCAGTCCTTTAGAGCACTTTAGAGTGATAGCTGGTAGCCTGAACTAAGGCTCAGAAATCTGGAGCCAGACCTGTTTATACTTATTTGTAAAAGTAATTTGGATTAAGTACCTTAATGTAGAGGAAAGCAATATTTTCTTATCACATTTTTGTTAGGTATTTTGGGATGGGCAACACACAAGATCTATAGTATAATCCCTAGTTATAGTCTTGACATAATTTAATAATCTGAAAAGACTCCAACTAATCCTGGCCTTACTGAAGCACTTAACACATTCCTGCCTATTTTGCATAATTTCTGTGAATCCGACAGCTGTCATCCCCACCCAGATGTTAAATACAAGCTGTACAGAAGCTGATCATCAATCCCTGCCTAAATGGAACGGCCAACAAGGTTCTCCAACTACAGCTTCAAAACATGAGTCTATTTCTATGAATGCTACTTGTGTATGCTAATAGACAATAGTTTCATTGGTTTTGCTATTGGGTGGGGTCTGTATTAGATGGGGAAAAAGTGAAAATTCTGTTTACCATCTAGCTAAGAAGTAAAAAAATCTCCTCCTTGCTAGGGGAATAAACGGATTGTATTGTACTCTTTCTGCCTGTCTCTCAGGATCAGGGCATTGAGAATAATGCTCTTTTTCCTAGTCCAGTGAAGCTAGACTTTTGCCTTTCAGGACAGGGTATCTGTTGACAGGGCTGATGTGATTTATTTTCCTAAGCTTTTGACATTAGGCTACACCCTGTGAAAGACAGTAAAATCTTAGGCCTTTTTGGTAGGATACTGAGGAGGTTCAGCTAGCTCTACTATTCCAAGTTACTGTGAGCGTTTCCTTTGCATATGTCACTGTTTCTCCATTCAAATTAAAAGTATGGAAAAAGGACACATGGAAGACAAATACTTTTCCCAATATAGTCTTATTGATTTACAGGGAGAATGTTTGTAAATTCAGTCATGTAACCCTCATCTGATGATTGAACCAAAAGGTGCTGAGTGTCTAGAGCTCAGCCCTTTACCTTGAACTGCTCCTACTGGTGGGGGCATGGGTAACAAATGAAGAGATGGATCCCAACATTGCTCCAGATAGAAGTGGTAGGTAGAGGACAGTGGAAGAGCAGATAGAAAATGTGAGGAGAATAGGATGGGTTGTAGGAGAAAGCAAAACTGGTTAGAATCAAATGGGCTGCAGAGGATTTATGGAGGAGGGAGGAAGGAGATTGTGTGTGAAAAAAAGTGTGTTAGGAGAAATGAATAATTGGAGTGCATGGATCAGATGTTCTGGAGGTGAGAGTGAACAATTGGTTGTGTATAGAGAGAACTGTAGGTCATAAGCAGTGAGTTTTAAAGGCTCAGGCCATTGTGTTGCAGTTGGGTTCTTGGGACAATTGCTTGCTTTTTAGCTTAACTTGTTTTTTCTTTCTGTAAAGGGAGATTCTGATAGAACAAAAAGCTGGATTCATCAGAACGGGTTTTATCTTTGGGCCTAAGACCCCAGTTCTTCTTTATATTACGTTTTTTGCAAAACTTGCATGTCTGACTCATGGTAGCCATTGTGTGATGCCACTGTGACACTTTCAAAATTCCAGAAGTACCCACTGACTTAAAAATGTTGGAAGCCCTTGAAATATGCATGCAGGTACTTCTAAAGCAACTTTTAGTCATTCATTTAGTTCGGAGGTTAGTAGTTGTAATGAATCTTTTTATACTGAAAATATAGTTATAGAACATATTTGCTTTTTGTCACATTTTTCTCATGTATCAGGCAACCATTTTCTCAGGCATGGATAGCAGAATATTGAAAAACATGGAATGAACTGTGGGATTTTTTTTTTTTTGGAGAAGTTAAGGTGGTCAGTGGGTCACTATATATTGATTCCATTTGGGTTAAGTACATAGCATGCTTGCAAAAAACCTTAACTTTCTCAGAAAAAGTTAGGTACTTTCTGTCGTTTAGACAGGAAAGGCAGTTATTGATAGTAATTTTTCAGAGGTACGTAGCTGATTATCTGGATCTATGAACCCATTTCAAAATGCTGCAAGAAATTGGCTCCAGTGTTTTCTTTATCTTTGTATGCAAAGGGATACTTTTCAAAGACAAAAATGGGAATTAGATATTTAAGTGCCATTTCTGTTTTTGGAAATCATGTGCATCCTTTGACATATTCATGACAAAGCAAGTGTCCTTTGACACTTGCTGTTGTTCTATTAAAAAAAAGCAAAAACAAAAAACAGACTCCCAAGGTGAAAAGGTTCAGCAGTTCTACACCTAAAAGAGCAATATATTCCCATTTTAGCATCATGAAGTTACAGGTAAGAAAGCCTCTTCTCTCATTTGTATCCAAAGCAGTATCTTGAGAAGATAGACTGGCATCGTATTAATTTGCCACTATATCTGTGATGTGGTGTCTAAATTGTTTGATTGTTTATTGTCCTTTGACTAAGGCAGATTAGAGAACATTGCTTAGAAGTTATAACAATTCATTCTACATACTTAATATTTGTTTTAACAATTACAGTTAAAACGTGTGTTAAAAACAGTGGTGTAATACATATGTGAAGATTAATGCTTTTAAACAATACAAGGACTTGTGCTGAATGCTAGATATGTGAGTGTGTGTATTTATACATACATACATACATACATATATAAATGCATGTGCATATCTTTATCTGTCTTCCCATTCAACATGCCATACAATGTGCAATGCCTTTCCTTCCATTTAGGTATCCCTCTGTTCCCGATGTCTTCACATACGAAGAGTCTTTCATCCACCAATATAAACAGCAAAAGGCAAACTCAGCCAAGCTGTACTTTGACTTCAAGGTTGGCTGCCAAGCAGCAGAAAATTAAAGAAAACTGGAAGACAGATGGGCTGTGCATGGATGAAGAAGAGGATTTCCAGGCTGCATCCCTGCTGCAGAAACACAGCGAGTGTGAGAAGCCGCCAGGGAAACGTCAGTGTAAAACAAAACATTTGGCACTGCAGGAGAGGAGAACAAGGTCATCCTTGACTGGAGATGACATAACAGATATTGAAAGCATTGAGGAGAAGGTATCTTTTTATCATGACTCAGTTGCCATTACTATCAGATTGGTAAAATCACCCAGATTAAATTCTTAAATGCCTCCTTTTTACTTTAACTCACGGCTCATTCAGCTTTATTCTACGACAAATTGCATGATTTCATGAGAGTCTTGTACATTGAGGATATTGGCCTTGAACTTTTAAGATGTAGTAATTCAGAAGATGTCACTACCATACAGGTTTTTTTTAGAAAAAGGAAAGATTTTTAGTGAATTATTGAGGGTAGATGGGATGGGGTATGGAATTCAGTAAAGATTTTGACAGGTTACAGTTAATGAGAATCTGGAAGCAACCAGAGGCTCCTTCAGATTGAGATTCTTCACCAGTCAAATCACATGGGCGCACATGGTATGATTGCCTGCAGCAACAGACTCCCTCATTATTGCCTTCTCTTCAGCCCTCACAGCTGCAAATTGCAAGTACACCTCAGGAGATTGCCCCAAGTCGTCCCATGCCACCAGAAGCCCGAAGGCTTATTGTCAATAAGAATGCTGGAGAAACTCTTCTGCAAAGGGCAGCACGACTGGGATATGAGGCAAGCATTGTTTCTGAAGATCACTACTTTGAATTAGAATATGGAAGATGTTTGGTGTCACATATGATTCTAATTGTTCACATGTTTAAGAACCTGTATTTCCTCTCAACATGATGAAATATCTTGAGGCTCTCTGCTCTGTTTTTTCATTCACATTCAAGCATGCAATTAGTATATTTTGTGAGTTGGTTTAGGAGAGAAACCATATAAACCCATGTAATTTAATAACCTTCAACCTGAATAGGTGCCTGTCATTGCCAATAAGAATTTGGAGTATGGTGTGCTTTGCAGGATTGGAATCCTATGTGAAGTAAGATAAAGGGTGGAGTAGAGTTAAGGGATCTATATATCTTTGCTGTCTTTACAAAGGATTAGTGATTTTCATTATTTTCACAGTATAAGAGTATAGGCATGCTGCTTTTTAGGGTTGCTTTAAACATTGCATTATTGGTATACTGTATATAGATGCATTTTGTGAGTCAATTCAGTTTTTTGAAAAATACAGAGTATTTAGAACCAGTCAATCTTAGGAGGTAAAGATTTCAGTGGACTATGGATTGCACTCGTAATGTGAAAACACAGTATCTGAACTACAAATTGCTATATATTTTTAAACTTACTACATTTTTAGGCATTGATCATGTTTTGTGAAAAAGATGTATGTTAAATGGCAAGTTGGACAAGATCCTGATATAACTTGTTTTTTTTTTTAATGTTTTAATTGAAGAACTTTATTTCTGGTGCAGCAAAAGAAAAAAAAGCAAGGAACAGAAAAGAGAGCTTAGTCAGAAGCAAGATACCCAAAATTTTTATGTTCTTTAATTAATCTTAATTAAACCCTAAGATTTTAAGAAAAAAATGACCAATAGTTTCTCTTGATGAAGGAGAATTAGGAGAGGTTCCTTATGAAAGCCTACATTGAGAGGCTAGGTAATGTAGCAAACTTAGATCCAAGTGCTTTGTGATACACAAAGCATCCAGCTTCCTGTGTGGTAAGGTGGTGTAACACCTTATAGGTGCAGAAGTCCCATGATTTATTTGGCTTGGGCAACAACTTAGTCATTTTCCTTGGCTATATAATTGAATGTTGTTATTTGCTTCATTTTATCAGAAAGAGAAAAGTAGAAATCTGAAAAAGAGGGAGAGAAACCTAAACCCTTGTTACAGTTAAACACATACTACCACAGATTGCAATCTTGGTAATGGTTTAGCTATATCTTAATAAGGCAATATATTCTGAATATCTTAATTATATAAATTTATGTTAAATCAAGCAGGATTGCTAAGCAGTTAAAGAAGACTCAGCGATCTTCCTAATTGAGCCCTTACTAAACTGATAAGGGGCAGTTTCAGGAACTGTGAAAAAGCTCTTGGAGTTGAAAGATGGTTAAGAATGCCATCCTTCATCTTTTTGTCCTATTAGCTTTGAGGTTGGCCATGGAAAACTAGTTCTGGTTCTTTACATCAGAGTGTCCGAGGAATTAGCAAGTATATAGTATGGCAAATGCTTTTAAGTCCAGACAAGAGTATCAGTCTGGGATCCTATTGCTTAGGAGATGACCCAAACAATCACTAAAAATGAGGTAGATAGAAAACTAGGAATGTCCATATTGGGACTCTGATGCCAGTTTTGGTAAACTCCATGAATATAGATGCCTTGCCTATGTCCTCAGTTGATAATTCATCTAATTGTGCCTAGCTGCCAACAAGAAAAAAAAAAAGGAATTCTTTCTCCCTACTTAGTAAGTTTAAAATAGGGGTGAAAGAGGGAGAAATGGGAAAGGAGTGCAGTAAGCTGGGTGGTGGGGAAAAGAAAAAAATAAGTTAGCAGTGTAGTAACGTAGGTAGTGTGAGAACCACTCTCACAAAGTATTCTCTCATGGGCTCTTTCACAAGTGACAATGCTCTTGCTACAAGAACATATGAGATATCCTGAGAAGGCAAAAAGGCAGATTGAGGGCCTAGGCTTTATTTCGTTGTATGCACTGTTTCTCTCAATGTGATGTTAATGAAGGGGCATTGCAAGACTCAGCTTCTCAAACCCGCTTTGGTACTTGCTTTTGAACCCTCAGTTTTTGCCTAAGAGAGAGAATGAGTGGAGAGTACAAAGGAAGGAGTCTGACTGAGTAAGGGTGTCTGTGGGAAGGACAAAGTCAAGATGGCAGCCACATCCATGCAGTTGAAGCCCTGCTCCTTTTTTATATGTGTCGGCCGTAGCCATCATCTTAACCTTTTCGTTCCCTCTCCCCACAGATGCCCTTATCTTTCTCCAAGTACTGACCCTTATATAGCCAAGCCAGCCAAAGTGGCAGATATCAGCAAGCAAATATAAGGTGTATAATATTTTTTTATTTGCATCCCCCCTGCCCTCAGTGGTGTGGATAACCTGTAATAACTCAAGATTTAACATGTGATAGCTGCAGAGGAAACAGGACATGATTGAACAGGACCATTTGTTACATGTCTCCTTGGTCTAATAGAACACCAAGGTGCCAGCTATTAGAGAAGCTAATTCTGAACTTCTCTTTCCTTTTGACACCATGATCCAACAATAAGAGTTTAATACCTCCTTTTTTATGTATGTGATGTTATTTTAAATGAATATCTATTTGAACTTCTGTTGATTACCTCAGTACAAAACTGCTGCAAGTGAAAATCTTGTCTGATTTCCTAGGATGTTGGGTAGCTTAATTAATTCAAAATATATTCTATGAGGTTTCAGTAAAAATAAAGGACAGTGCTGAAGGTCTTTAGCGAATAAACAGTGACAAATACCAAATTAAAATTCCTTTTGAAGCAGCTGTACTTGAATGCACAGTTTGAAGGAAGAGGGAGAGGCATTTGAAGGTGGTGGTTAGGTGATAATAAGTTTGGGTCCACTGCGTCTGTCTCAGTTTGCACTTCTCCTTCCCTTCCTCCATGCATATTAACTACCAACAAGCTTGTGGCAACAAAGGATTCTCTCTCTCTCTCTCTCTCTCTCTCTCTCTCTCTCTCTCTCTCT